TAAAAATTAAACTTTTTTTTTTTTTTTTTTTTTTTTTATTGTATTATAAAAAAAAATTTATATTTATCTTTTACATAATTTTTTTAGTATAACTTAATTTTATAATAAAGGAAATATTTAAAAACAAATTTTTATATTTATTCAAAACTTTAAGTTTTTTTATTGTTTTCCTTTTTTATGATGTTGTAAGATGCAACAGATAAAATATCCATTATCCTTTTTCAACTTAGAAAAATAAAATAATTATTTAAAAATTAAGTTAATATTTTTTTTTTTTTTAAAGTGTTAAAAAAAAATATAAAAGAAATAAAAAAATGTATATAATAAAACTAACCAGTGAATAATGAATATTATACCTTCTAATATTTAAAAAAAATATATTTTTAGAAGCAAAGAAAAAAGCTTCATTAAAAGAATATTATGTATTATTATTTTTTTTTAAAATATTTTAGATAACTGAAAAAATGAAAGAAACGTTATAACTAAAATTTTAACTTTTTAATATTTTTTTTCTATTAATTTTATTACTTCTTATTTTGATATATTCTTTAAATTTAAGATTTATATGTACATATATAAATATTAATGTGCATAAATTCATTTACATGAATTTTTGTATTTATTATTATAAAAAAATTATATTTTTAAAATAATATATATTTGGTATTACTTAAAAGGTTTTTGCATAAATAAAGATTTTGAATAAAAAAAGATTTTGAACATTATGTTTGTATTCAAAAATATTATAAATATATATAAATATAAACAAATTTTAAATAATTCCATATTTAAGTAAAATATATATTATATATATATAAATATTCTATTATGTAAATATGTATGTATTAATTTTATTCATAAGTACTAATATATGGAATTTATGATTTTTTTTTTTTTTTTTTTTTTTTTTTGTTAATATTATAAATTTTAAAATTTATGATATGTTTTATATAAAGAGTTATTTTGTATGTTCATTTATTTCTAGTTTTGAAAAAAAATTTAACTTTTTTCTTTTATAGTCTAACCTTTTTTTTAGTATATATATATATATATATATAATTTTAAAATAAATATATTTTTCTGTTTCTTCTATATATATTTTTTTATATTTTTTTTCTTTTTTTTTTTTTTTTTTTTTCTATATATTTCTTTTTATTAGATTTACTTTAGTTATTTGAAACTATTTTATTATGGATATAATAAAAAATTTAAATGAGAATGATAAAATTCGTAATATTTGTATTTTAGCTCATGTAGATCATGGAAAAACTACGTTAGTTGATAATTTAATTAGTTCTAACAAAATAATTAGTGACAAAAATATTGGTAAGATAAAATACTTAGATAGTAGAGAAGATGAGCAAAAGCGGCAAATAACTATGAAAAGTTCTAGTATTTTATTAACACATATATACAATAAAAATTATTTAAATGAGATGTTTATTGATAAAGATAATAATATAGAAAATGAAAGTGGGAAAAATAATGAAAGTAAAATAAAAGATGAAGACAAAATAAATGATAACATGAAAGAAAAAAAAAACACAAATGATGATAAAATTCTGGAAGAAAATAAAACCTATTTAATAAATATAATTGATACACCTGGTCATGTAGATTTTTCTTCAGAAGTTTCAACTTGTATTAGAATATGTGATGGTTCAATAATACTTATTGACTGTATAGAAGGTATATGTAGTCAAACAAAAATAGTTTTAAGACAAACATGGAAAGAAATGATAAAAAGTATTTTAGTTATTAATAAAATTGATAAATTAATAACAAATAAAAATATGGATAGCATTAGTGCCTATGAGCACATAAATAATATAATTGAACAAGTTAATGCTTATATTTATCAACTATATATTGAAGAAAATATGAACAATGATAGTATAGAAACTTCCGAATTAGAAAAATATACCTATTCTCCAATAAAAGGAAATGTATTACTATGCAGCAGTATACATTGCTGGTGTGTAGATATGAACATTTTCTCTTTTTTATTTTGTAAAAAAATGAATATAAGTCATAGTAATATTGATAAAATTAAAAAATACATGTGGAATCAATATTATTTTAATATGAAGGAAAAAAAAATTTTAAAAATTACAAATGACACATGTTCATCTAACAATAACATAAAAAAAAAAAAGAAAAATTTATTCTCTTTAGTTGTTCTTGACTTTTTATGGAAGATATATGATATTACTATTAAAAATAGAGATGATGAAAAAATAAGGAATTTATGCTCAGAATTAAATATTTCTGATTCTTTCTTAAAAAAAAACACACAAAATAATATTGAAAACAATACTTTTATTCTAACTTGTATTATGTCAAAATTTTTAAATATATCCAGATCTATATTTAATACTTGTATTGAAATGTTTCCATCACCAAAAAAAATGGATGAAAATAGACTTTTTAAAATTTTTCCTTCTTTATATAATAAAGAAATATATAAAAATATAATAAACTGTTCTACTGATAATTTTACCATTATTTATATATCGAAATATATTTGTGCAAATTTACAAAATAATACTTTAGTTGGATTTAAGGGATTTTATGATAAAAACACTTTTCTTGCTATCTGCAGAATATATTCAGGAATCTTATATGAAAATATGATTTTGTATATATGTGGAAAAAATATTAAGATATTAGTAAAAAAAATATATATATGCATGGGAGGAGATCTTTTATCTATTAATGAAGCATATGCAGGTAATATTGTTGCTGTATACCTTTCGTTGATAAAAGAAAATTATGAAAATAATAAAGAGAATCAAAGAAATGTCATGGAAAAAGAAAATATTGAAAGTAATGATATAAGTCAAAATTCGAAATATTATAATGATTCTGATAAAAAAGAAAAAAGAGAAGACTCTTTTGAAAATATACATAATAACATAAATAATAAAATTTTGAATGTATCAGAAAATATTAATAAAATAAATAACCAAATAAAAAGTAATAATGAACATTTTATTAATAACCTTGGAGATATTGATGGGGAAGATTTACAATATTTATCAAATACCTTAATGAATTTAATTAAAAATAAAAGAAGCAAAAAAGAATATAATATATTTTTAATGAATAATGAATGTATATTTTTAAATAAAAATGTTACGTTATCAAATCAAGAAAATATTGATTCTTTTATTCTACCTTTTACTGATACATGTTCAACCATTTTGCATACAATTGTAGAACCCAAAAATATCCAAGATATGAATAAATTTCTTTATGGTTTAATTTTATTATACACTTGTGATACTTCTATTGATATAGATTTTAATGAAAGAGGAGAATATATTTTGAAGTTCTGTGGCGAAATACATATGCAGAAATGTCTATCAGATTTCGTTAATATATACAGTAATATAGAAATAAAAACCTCAGATGCTAATATTTCTATTAGAGAAGGAATTAACGATAATTATATGAAAATAAAAAGAAAAAAAAACAAAATTCATGATAACTTAAAAGGTTTATATAATTATTATTTAAAAGTTCAAATGTCAAATGATACGAAAAATTTTGAAAATTGCATAAATAATGATACAACTAAAGAAAATTCTAAAATTATATCAAATAACGATAATAATAATAATAATAATAATAATAATTTAATCAAAGAAAAAAATAATACCCATAAAGAGAAGAATATTAATACTACAAAAATGGAAAGTAATAGTTCTGATAATTTTTTTAAAAATATTAATTTAGAAAAAGATAATCATTTTTTAAATATATTATTTAATTATAGTCACAATACTATATGCAATAAACTAAATAATAATTCATTTTATGTTTTTTTGAGTGTTTTAAATATGCCTGAAAATATATTACATTTTTTTGATAAACATTATTCCAATATTCAAACTATATTAGAAAATAGATGTATTTCTCCATGTTTTTTAAATTATAATAAAATGGATTTTTCGAATAAAAGTGAATATTTTTTATATAAGCAATGTTTAATTAATTTAGAAAAGTGTGTAAACGATTTGTGTTTTTCCAATAAAGTTAATTATGAAGATGTAATTGAAGAAAATATAAATGAATCAATAATGAGTGATTCAGAAAAGAAAGAAGAAAAAGAAAATTTAGCAAAAGATAATTGTGACAAAGTGAACTTTTTAAAAAAAAACAAAAATTATCATTTACAGCTATGGGATATTTGTGTGCAAAATGGAAGTATCACATTATTATACATAAAAAAATATTATAATAAAAAAAAAAATAATGAATACATACTTGATAATATATTAACAAATGAAAAATATAAAAATATAATTAACCAAAGATGTTTTGTTGATACATATTTATCGGATACAAATAATGATATAAATATTTATTTAAATAATTTATGTCTTGGTTTTAAATTAGCGTCAAAATATGGACCTATAGCACAAGAACCAATAAGGTATATAAAAAAAAAAAATAAGTAAATGATATATATATATATATATATATATATATATATATATATATATATATATATATATATATATATATACAAGTATATTTAAAATTTTTTATATAAAGTTAAATTAATATTATTTATATTATTAATAATTACATATATATATATGTATGTTTTTTTTTATAGAGGTGCATTATTTATAATTGAAGGATTGGTTATTGATGAATTATTTAATGAAGAAATATTTGAAGATATAAATACAAAAAAGGAAAATTTAGAAGAAAAAATAAATCCAGGTAATATTATTGCTTTAATGAAAGAAACGTGTTTAAATTCTATGCAACAAAATAAGCTAAGAATATTCGAGCCAATGTTAAGACTAAATTTAACATGTGAAAGTAGCGTATTAGGTAAAGTATATAATGTTTTATTAAAAAGAAGATGCTCCATATTATCTGAAGAAATAAAAGATGGATATTTTCTTTATTGTATTGATGCTTATTTGCCTTTATTTAATTCTTTTAAATTATCCGAAGAATTAAGATCAAAATGTTCTGGTAATGTTATTTATGATATCCAATTCAGTCATTGGAATAAATTAGATGAAGATATATTTTTGTTAAGTGATAACTCAACTGTTATATATGATGAAGATTTTGATATTAAATTAACTGATAATACTGCAACAGAAATAGTTAACTATATTAGAAGAGCAAAAGTAAGATATAAAAAGAAAAAATTATAAAAGTTACATGAATAAACTATTACATTAATATATTTGTATATACGTATGTATTTTTAAATAATCCTAAGTTTATATATTTGTAATATTATAATAAAAATGTGCTTTAAAATTAATTAATAATATAATAAAATCTGAATTTAAAATATCGTAAAATGATAAAATGTATTTATATTTTTTAATATTAATATTTTTACTTATGAATTTTTGAATGTTTATGTAATTTTATTCTTTTATATAGGGATTAGTAACAAACGAGAAAATAATACAAAAACCAGAAAAACAATGTACCTTAAAGAAATAGTTCAATTCTTAAATATTTAAAAATAGTAAGAAGACAAAATATGAATATCAATTTTAAAGTTTTATTATTTTTTTTTTTTTTTTTTATAGATTATTTAAATCAAAACTTTTTTTTTAATACACTCATAAATTTTATAATTTCTCTGTTTTTGCTATTTATTATTTTATTATATTTATTTATTTATTTATTTATTTATTTATTTATTTATTTATTTAATTTTTTTTTTTTTTTTTGTTCAATAGCATTTTTAATATATATTAAAATTATTTGTAATGGGTAAAATAACAATTAAAAAATTAACAAAATTAAAATTATGAATTAACTATCTTTTTTATATATGTTAATATATCAGTAGATCGGAATATTAATTTTCGAAATTGTATATATAACATATTAATTTTTTTTAAATATTTTATTTAATCTCTCCCATGAGTTATTTTAAATGTATAATTATAAATTTACATATTTTATTACATTTAATTTCCTTTATTCCACTTAATATTATGTACATTATGTAAATAGAATTAAAAAGAGATTTATAATTTATAAATATTTTTCGATATATATAATTTATTTTTTTTTTTGAATATATTTTACTAAAATGTTTCATAAATACTACTCTTTATAAATAATAAATACCATAAATTGTTTAATAGTTTATATTTACATTTATAATTAATTGCGTTTTTATACTAATAAGCTAAATATATATAAATTGTAATTATTTTTAATAATTAATTTCAAAATTATTATATTGATATTTTGTTCAAAACAGCTGTTATACTGTTATCAACAATGTCTTTTTTTTTCTTTTTCTTTTTTTTTTTTTTTTTTAAATCTTTTTTAACATGGACATTTTGATTATTTATTTTTACATGATCACAAATATTGTTAATACATGATGAATTTTTGTCAATATTTTTGCAACATTTGTATCCCCATTTTTTTTTATCTCTATCATAATATGAACCATAAATTGATTTATGATTTTTTAAAAAAATATCTTCATTATACTTTGATTTTATAGTTAATTTATGTTTCATATTTTCATTTATATTATTTTTATTATTTTCATTCTTTTTATTTATATTTGCAGTTGTATGTATTTTAATTTTATCTGTTTTACTTTCTTTATTTACATCATATATAATATTATTTAGGTAATTTTTATTTTCTTCTTCATTTTTTCTCAATTGTTTTTTTAAAATATATATTTTGTATTGTTCTTCTCTTTTTTTTAAATACTTTTCTTCTTCTTCTTTTCTTTTCCTTTCATTTTCTTCAGCTATCCAAACTCTTTCTAAATTTTTTATATTCCCTACAAATTATTAAAAAAAAATTACATTGTTTTATTATGTTACCTTTTATATATATAGGGATGAATATTAAATAATATTTTAATAAATACCTGGATGAAAATGCTTATGATTAATGAATGAAGCACTTTTATTTCCAATTTTATTTATCCACATATTTAACAACAAAAAAAAAAAAAAAAAAATTAAATTAAAATAAAATAGAAAATTATGAAGTAAATTAAACTTTTATTTTATTCATTTTTCCTATAACAAAACGTTTTATTTTTTTGTAAGTTTATTGTAATTTTTTTTTATTTAAAAAACATTTTAAAGTAAACTTTATGATATTATAAAAAAAAAAAAAAAAAAAAAAATTTATAACATGAAATATTAAGAAAATAATTTTAAAATTTATATTATTAAAAAAAAAGAAAAAAAAAAAAACAGAATAAAAATGTAAAAAATTGATAAAAGTAAAATAAAATAAAAAATAGAATAATTTTTTTTTTTTTCACATAATAAATTTGCACACATTTAATTTAAAAATATTCAAAATATATTTATTTTTAGTAAGCTACAAAAAAAATGATTTAAAATAATTGTTATGAAATTTGACAAAAATTCAAAATATGAAAGTATTTCATAATTTAATATTATGTTATTAACTTTCTGATGATTCAGAACCAGACTGAAAAAAAAAAAAAAATATATATATATTTATATTTATATATTTTAAAAGTAAAATTACAAAAAAATAATATATAAAAGAATAAAAAAACAAAAAAAAAAAAATTTTGAAAATGGATTAAAAATAGAAATTATATAAAAATTTAAAAAAAAAATTATAATTATTTAATAAATTATTTTTGGTTTTCTTATTATTTTATTTTTTAAATACTTCTTCTATGTCATATTTCCATAAATTAGTATTGTTGTAAATCATGTTAATTGTATGAAGGAATAACTAAAAATTATAAAATAAATTTTATTAATATATTATAAAAATTCATAAAACTTAAAATTATTAATTTATTCATTTAACCTTTTTCACATTTTTTCCTGTATGAGCAGAAGTTAACCATAATTGAACCATATTTTCATTACTTTTCATTTATTAAAAAAAACATATATATATATATATATAAATTTACATATATTTTTAAGTTATAAAAAACATTAATTTTCTAATATTATTATATTTTAAATCATAAAAAAAATTCAAATCTTACGCAAAATTTTCTGCTTGTCTAATTAATTCATTATCTTCATTTACTAAATCTAATAAAAATATAAAAATAAATATGTAATACTTAAAAAAAAAAAAATAAACATGAACATTATTTCAAATAAAGAATTACCAGATTTATTTCCTACAAGAGATATAAATGGTTTTAGAGTCTAAAAATTAAAGAAAAAAAAAAAAAAAACAATGAATAAAAATAAAACAGCAACAAAGTGAAAAAGTAACAAGATATAATTGAATAAAAACTCAATTTAATTAAAAATAGAAAATATATTAAATTTTTATATAATAGAACAAAATAAAAATATATCTTTAATTTATTTTAGTTACATAATATTTATCATATATACTGGACATTTTTAAATAAATCATTTTAACATAATCAAATGTAGATGCATTAGTTAAATCAAAAACTAAAAAGTATGCCATTCTTCCTATAAAAAAATATATATATATATATATAATTAAAGAAACATTGTAAATAATTATATAATATTAATAATATTAACAAATATTTATAACCATAACTAATTGAATTATATGGATCATCCTTATTAAAAGGAATTGCAGGATTTTCAAAGTAACTGAATATTGGATTTTTCAAACTATTCTTTTTTGTTGTTACTATAATATTTATTTTTGTAATTGTAGAGATAGGAAATTATTAATATGTATATTTAAAAATATTAAATAAATATTATTTTTACTTTCATGTAAATTCATTTATTAAATAAAAATTATGAGAATTATAGTGGAATAAAATTATAAATAAATACTTATGAAATTAAAAAAAAAAAAAAAAAAAAAAAAGCATACTTTCTTTTCTTAGCATATTAGTAAAACTATTTATATCTTTTTCAAGACAAGTATCTTCTATTTCAACACAAAAACTTCTATGTCTATCTTTGTGTACTTTATAATATATCCTTTAAAAATTTAAGTAATTATTTTAAAATATTTAATAAAAACAATTATAAATATATATATATATTTTTACATTGGCATATCAGTATGTGTATATTTGTAAACAATATCATTATTCATGATTGAATTAATTATTGACGTTTTTCCTGTATTTAAATAACCAATAACTGTTAACTGTAATAAAATCATATTTTATGTTATTTTATAAAAAAAAATTTATAAAAATCATTTATAAAGTAATATCCTTAAAGTTCAAAAAAAAAAGTTATCTTCTAACAACACAAATAAAAAAAACTATATTATTAATAATACTAATATTAAATTATAAGAAATTAAAAAAATTTCAATTAAATAATATGCATTTTATTATTTTTATTCAATATATTAATTATACTTAAAATTATATAAAAATATATATATAAAGTATTAACTTAATAAAATACTAAATTTCTCTTAAATTTTTAGAAAATTTTATTTTTTTTATTATTTGCTTATAAAAAAATTGGGTGTATTTTTTTTTTTTTTTTTTTTTTTTTACTTTTTAAATAGTAATTGTTTTCATTTTTCTAAATAGTTATACTATGAAATATTTATTTGAATTGTTTTTNAAATATTTTTTTTAATTTTTTTTTTTTTTTTTTTTTTTTATATTAACATATAAATAATTGTCTTATGATAATATTTAAAAAGTTAATATATAAAATAATATAAAGAAAAATTCATACTCTATATTGGAAAAATCTCATTAGTTCTAGACCAACTAAAGTTAGATTAAATTAAAAAATATGCGCAAAAAAAAAAAAAAAAAAAAATATATATTTTTATGATACACATTTTTTGAATATGCATAAAGGTGTAAAAAAAAAAAAAAAAATTATCAAACTTTATTCATTTAATATCAATAATAAAAAAAAAAAAAAAAAAAAAA